CACAAATACAGTCAATACTGACATGCTCAAAACGTGCTCGTGTCCGCCCCCTTTGGGACCATTATGAAATGTGTGGCAGTTTAACAAGGAACATTTGACCTTTCAATCATTCTCACTACCTGGGGTCATAGTAGGACGTCTTACTTTGGGATTTAGCATCTGACTCTAGGACTTTAAGTAAAGGAAGTAAACTCACCAGTCTTGCACAGCGTAGAAGGATTCTTGGTTAGTGATGTCATACATTAGCAGGAAGCCCATGGCCCCTCTGTAGTACGCTGTGGTAATAGTGCGGTACCTCTCCTGCCCTGCTGTGTCCTGACGAACAACATACAAGAAAATACAGCCATCAACGTCTCTTTTCAGTATTCTTTTAGTTCAATAAACACACACACACACACATCTAAAAGCATTTTTTCCTAAAACACTGTACAGCAGAAACCCTATGGTTTGCTGAAAGCGTTCATTGCTTTATGCTTTTATCGTCAACTTCATGAGTTATTTTTCTTAATGATTCGTTGCTGTTATTTCTTGTTAGAAGAGTCTAATATTCCAGTAGAGTGCTGAAAGACTTGAAATAAATGGGATATTTCACCATTATATTTATCATAAGTGCAACAAAAAATTATATAATAGTGCAACAAAAATGATGTAATACAAAAATTGAAAACAAAATCTATAAAAAATAAATAAATAAAAAAAAAACATACAGATTCACAAGGTTTAATGCAAGTAAAATTCAGAAATCATATCTATTTTAAAATGTTTTCTAGACTGCGTTCACTATATTAATGTAGCAAACTGTAATATTTTCATTTAAATATTTTCCTCCACATATTTTTAATAAAACTTTTCAAACACGTAAAATGCCAGAAAGGGACTTTGAACAATTTTTGATTAGGTAAATTATGTATTTAATAATGTCGGTTTTAATTGTCTTATACAGGGATCACAAAACTAGTCATCTTTAGGAAACCTGTTGGCTAAACAAAACGTGTGTTTAAAAATCACAGCAATATTGACAATGTTGGATAATTTCACATTGCCAGCAAAGTCAATGTAAATATATCTTGAATATTTGACAATCTGCCTAACTTCTGTAGTAAATGCAATGCAAACAAAACAGAATCAGGGGTTTAGAGTTTAACAGCCATGTTAATGTGGTAACTAGGCAACATTTGATTAGTTTCCATGATACTGAAAAGCCTTGACTTGATTTAGAATGCTGTGACCTCACCTATGTAGGTAACCATGGTAACCATTGGTTTGGGCAGCTGTTAGAGGCTTGTATATATGCATGTATTGTATTTTAGGGGAAGAGACGAATTCAAACTAATGGGAGCTTGACAAAAGCCTCAGCCCCTTCTTTCAACAGAGATACGATGTGCCACCTGCCCTACACACACACACACACACACACACACACACACACACACGATGGCTAACTTCACAACAAAGACAAGTGAATCATATCTACATTCTGCCTACTGCCATCTTACATGCTGAAAGATCTTAAAGCAAGCCTTACAGTCAGGAAATGTCAATGAAATTTTTCTTCAACAGCCATGACTGTGTCAATAATACAGCAGTTAATGTATAATATTTGCTCTTTCTTCATAGAAAAATGACTCAATTTACTTTCGTCATTGTCTTTAAATCAAGAACTCCTCCTTTAAGTAAACAGAGAATATGTAAATGTGAACACGCACATATAACTTTCCACAAATAAGGTATACTCCAAACAGTCCAAAGTGTTTATAAAAAGCACTGGACGCCATAAATCTCCATGGTTTTTTTGTGTTGTGGGAACTAAAGAATATTAGATCAACTATTATATGCTATAAAAGACCTTAAGCTCTGACAATGAGGATTTGCGCCTGTACCATTTCAGAGGTCTTGAAATAAACTTATAGCGTAAAACCATACAAGAATGTTGTTAATTTGATTATTTTGAATGGATAATTCTTTGTAGTAAAAAAATAAATTAATAAATTAAATAAAAATTTTACATTTTAATTAACTATGATTATTAATTAACTAAACATAATATTTACATTCACTGGCCATTTATTCAAAAAGAAAAAAATTAATAAATAAATTTGAATACTTTAAGGCTTTATTTTTCACCTTATTAGTGGGACATATAATAACAAACTTGTGCATGGAGACAAACATCATTGGTTTACTTCATACTGCACATTCTCATTGCTATAGCAATATAGTCAATAAAACATGACTGATTATTAACTAAACACCTCCAAACACTTAGTCAAGAGAAAAGGCCCCGTGTCTTCCCCACCCTCTAAATACACCACACACACACACACCACACACACACACCACGCATGCACGCACGCACACACACACACACACACACACACAAGGCTTGGCCTGCGCTCTTGGATCTTGACAACCGTAGAGGACCTTACAGAATATGAAACCAAATCTACAGCCATAGTAGGAATGAGGGATGTGGCTTTCCACCATCAGAGAAGATTTTACACTACGCTTCCCTACAGGTGCAGCCAGAAACAAATGCAATGCTTAAAGCAAATAATAAAATGCAAATAACCATACAATCATGCATACAGTAGTTAAGATAGCAAAATAAATGTATGCATCAATTTTTTAAAGAAAGGTCTATATTTAGACTACATTAAGTATGGGATCTCAGGTCAATCACATTTGCATGCATTGCAAATGCATTTCAATTTTTGTGTAATAAACTTGTACGGTAAATATTTTTGATACCGTAAATGAAATAAATAGATAAACAAATGCACCCATGCATTGGGTCGCCACTTGATGTCCAATGTAAAATGTGCATCCTGAAGTGAATCCTCTGATCTAATGTATTATAAAGCATCAATGTAATATGATATAACAATTGGGCAGTAGCGGCTCGAGGGTTTTAAAATAGAGGAGGCAGAGATATTGGTCTGGGATCCCTGCCGATTATTATTATTATTATTTGCTTAACCACTTTAAAATGGCTTTTTGGTTGCTTTTAGTCAGAAAACGTAAAGGAAACGACATACAGCAAGATAATATAATTTCACTTACCTGGCCTATCACTTGAATCAAACATCCATCCCTTCTTAAAAGTATGTGATAAAAGAGAGCTGCCTGTTGCGCCATTTAATTAAGCTGACTGCTGTAGCCTATATCCAGCTTAGGCTGTTTTCCCTAAATTTGTATATATACTGTTTGAATAACAGCTTGGTAAATCTGTTGGAAATCAAATATTCAATATCGCTACTCATCATAAGTACTTGGTACTTATAGCGCAGCGGCAGACGTTCAAACTAATATCACGTAATTTATGTCTCTGTGATGATTGGTTGATATCAGAAGGGAGGCTAGCCTCCCTTGCAAGGGTTCTTTTCTCAACACTCCTCAGCGCTAAAAGTGAACACTCGATGCTGATTGGCTATTTTTTTTTAACCTCTCCCCCGTCCTCCCCCTC